CTCTTCACTTCCTTCTCGGAGAACAGCAGTACAACAAGGGGGCGACCTAAACATTTTGTCAGGTGTGTAAAAGTCTTACTACATTGTGTCACAATCGTCAAAGTCAAACAAACCATGTTTCTTTCTTGAGATCTCGTTTGTTACAATGCTGAGATAACGATCATAGTCGCCATCTGTGGAATCTAATTGGGTGACTAGATCAGCCAAATTCTGAAAGTGAAAGTTGATGGTAATCTTGCATGAAACTCAACAAATAAGAATTATTTAAATAACCTGAACTCACCTTTGTCAATACAAAAACGTATCGATTTCCACCACGACGACTAGCTACAGAAATTCGTAGCCCCTCTCGTTTTGATAGATCATTCGCAACTTTTGTCGCTCGACTTCGCGACAACTGAAAGTTTGCATAAACTCGAAAGGGAAAACAGGCTCAAGAAATTCAAATCTGTCAAAAGAAAATTGTTTATGATTAACTACCATCTCTTGTATTCTGCTACGATTCTTGATTTTGAAAATTTTTTTCTTTTTTCTTTAACTGCCCATCCGGAGAGGAGAGAAATCATTTAAATTATCGAAATTATACTGTCTTGTTTGCACCCTCCTTATTAGTTCCGTTCAATACTTTTCAGCTACGCTTAGAATTCAGAAATAAACGGCGTAGTGATTTTATCTTTTTTACTTACAAGACACTTTTTGTGATATCTGAGCACTACTTTATGATTATAAGATCTAGCGTACTACACTGGGAAAGCAATTTCGCAATTCTAAGAAATATCCGTTGAGAAGAAGTGGAAAGTATTTTCAGATGCATTAATGATTACATCTGGAGTTTATCATAAAGTTCGCAGCCAAATATTTTTGTTTGAATGTTTTTGAGCTTTAGCGCATCTGCTTACATAAGTATATGAGTGAGAAAACAACATAGTGTTTTTTTTAAAGCAAAGTCTACGTTGTTAATTAAGAGGGGCCCCTTTATATAAACTAATTGAAAAGGAGTATTTATCAAGAAGCTTTGTAGGGTCATATACCATTATACTGCAAATGTTATAATTTAAAAAACCAGCAATTTAATTCGAAGCT